TGCTTCAGCTTTCACCCAAAGATAACCAGTAGCCAACATATGGATTTATTTGAAGCTATGGTTGGGAGTTATGTAAAGAATATAGGCATAACAATTTTGGTTGCAGGGGGCATCATTCACAGCTTCTAAGAGGTGACAAAAGGGCAGGTATAGGATACATATATCAGAAACAAGTGTGACTGATACATTTTTCATGTCAAATTTAAAGGCCAGCAGATTTTATTATTTTAGCATGATAACGCCTTATTGTTCCAACACTATAACATCTTCTTATCAATTGAAACAATGAATGAAAGTGAGCGCTTTCTAAAGACGAGCAGCTAGAACACACAGGACAACCAAAAAATCCTCACATGGAACTAAGTAAAAAGTGCAGCGCTAGAAAATAAAAAGATAAAAATAAAAAATAAATAGTCAGTATGCTTGATAGGTACTCCAAAGTCAATACAAAGTCCCAAAAGGAATGATGTATATACTGTGGTAAAGATGTAGTTGAAGATAGGTAGATGTGATCCCCGAATCAGTGAAGATCCCCAGGTCTAAGAGGCATACGTTCCCAAGATGAAATAAGGAAGCAGTCACAGCTATATCGGAGGGAACCACCACTCCTTCACTTTACATCCACGGTATCTAAGAGGAGAAACTCCTCACAAAAAGAAATGCCTATAGTAAGGTATAATATATGACATTTATTAGAGTAAAACGCAGGATGCATCCAGATTAGGTAAAATCATAACACCGCCAACAAATATTAGCATTAGCAGCCAAAGCAAACAGGACTAACCGTCCTGTCAGATGTAGTGGCCGCCGGAGCTCCCCAGTGCTCCGACGGCGTGGCGTCAAGGCGTACGTAGGTTCCTCCTTACGCGTTGCGTGCCAAGCACATCTTCCGGTTCTTTCCTCTGAAGATGTGCTTGGCACGCAACGCGTAAGGAGGAACCTACGTACGCCTTGACGCCACGCCGTCGGAGCACTGGGGAGCTCCGGCGGCCACTACATCTGACAGGACGGTTAGTCCTGTTTGCTTTGGCTGCTAATGCTAATATTTGTTGGCGGTGTTATGATTTTACCTAATCTGGATGCATCCTGCGTTTTACTCTAATAAATGTCATATATTATACCTTACTATGGGCATTTCTTTTTGTGAGGAGTTTCTCCTCTTAGATACCGTGGATGTAAAGTGAAGGAGTGGTGGTTCCCTCCGATATAGCTATGACTGCTTCCTTATTTCATCTTGGGAACGTATGCCTCTTAGACCTGGGGATCTTCACTGATTCGGGGATCACATCTACCTATCTTCAACTACATCTTTACCACAGTATATACATCATTCCTTTTGGGACTTTGTATTGACTTTGGAGTACCTATCAAGCATACTGACTATTTATTTTTTTTTTTTTATCTTTTTATTTTCTAGCGCTGCACTTTTTACTTAGTATCTTCTTATCAATAAAGACATTGAGGCTAGGTTCACATCTGTGTGGGTGGTGCGGCTGCTGATCTGCATGAAAATCCATGCAGCCGCACCACCCGCACGGAGGAATGTGGACCCGCGGGCGGGTGCCATTACTTCTAATGGCATGCCACCCACACTGGAAACGCAGCTCAGTGGATTGCTTTAAAAAAGTCCTGGATTCTTTCTTGGATACACAGAATATATCTGGATATAACATTTATAGGTAAAGTTGATCCAGGGAATATCCGATTGCCTCTCTGGGATCAGGAAGGAATTTTTTTCCCAGCAGGAGCAAATTGAATCGTGCGTTGCTGGTTTTTTTTTCCTTCCTCTGGATCAACTGTGGGTGTAGGATTATAACTTCTTTTTTTCTATGGTTGAACTGGATGGACTTTTCTCTTTTTTCAGCCAGACTAACTATATAACTATATTATTATTATATAGTATTTATATAGCGCCAAAGGGTTTGCTCAGCGCTGTACAATAGCGGGGGGGACAGAACATGAGACAAAACAGTATAATACAATGTGATACACGAGGGGTTCGAGGGCCCTGCTCTTTCGAGCTTATACGAGGGAGGGGATAGTGGTACAGGAGGAAGTGGCTGTGGGGGATGGAGTGTGTAGGAGGAGTGGAGGAGATCGGTTGTTAGGTGAGGGTGGGGGGTAGGCTTCTGTTACACAATAAGGTGGAGAGTAAAGTTTGACCCCATTCTGCATCCACTTCTCAATAGTTATCCTGTTACCTGTGAAGCACAAAACCACCTATAAAAATCCCTCAAAGTCATTTTCCACAAACGTTTAGAAATAAAGTAGGCTTTATTTGTAGCATATCTAGAAGACCCATGTTAGAAAGAGCTTTGAACCTTTGTTTCACTTCTTTTAGAAACCCACAGGACAATAAGAGATCTTATTAATGCTATGGAAAAAAACGTAGAAGAAAATTTAAGTCACTGCCACAGAAAGAACGTATCTTGATTGGTTCACCTGGCCTTCAAAGTGGAGTTTCGATTTTAAATGATGGCATACATTAGACAACTAAATAGTATCTGAGCAGGTTGCCATCATGATGATGCCACAAGCTCAGCTACTACTTTTACTCTATAATTGCAATGATATCATATGGGACATTCAAGTGACATCCAAGTAGATCCAAAAGGTCCTACCTATTATCATCAAGGGTTCCACATGGAGGGCCTCGTGAACCACTCAAGATATATGCTTTCTATGGAAATCTTCAATAATTTTCCTAATGTTATCGTCTAATGAGTTCTACAAAATTGAAACAAAGATTCATTGCTCTGGATAACACAGATGATTTCTTCCTGATCTACTATAAATGAAGCCCACTTACTTCTAAAAGTTTGTTAAGGGTGACTTTGGGTGATTTTTATAGGTGGCTTTGTGCTCTTCAGGTAACGAGACAGCTATAGAGCAGTAGACCCAGAATGGGTCAAACATTACCTAATATCTTATTCTGTAAAAAGTGATAACCATCTATATTGACATGAAGATGTTATCGTATTGAAACAATCTGATCTGTTGGCCGTTGAATAAATGAAATAGAATAGTAAGGAAAAAATAAAGAATATCAAGAATAAAAATTACAAAAAGTTCCCATTGTGGAAGTTTCTGATAGTGTGAAAAAAACATGCAGATAAAACTGTGTATACATTAACCTGAACATTTCCTATTAACACAGCTGGCCAGTGTACAGGTGGCGGGAATCAACACCATGAAATTCCTTCTCATCTTTGTGCTCCTCGGGGCAGCTGGTGAGTATGTATATATATATATATATATATATATATATACAGTGGATACAGTCAGGTCCATAAATATTGGGACATCAACACAATTCTTACATTTTTGGCTCTATATACCACCACAATGGATTTGAAATGAAACGACAAGATGTGCTTTAACTGCAGACTGTCAGCTTTAATTTGAGGGTATTTACATCCAAATCAGGTGAACGGTGTAGGATTTACAACAGTTTGCATATGTGCCTCCCACTTGTTAAGGGACCAAAAGTAATGGGACAATTGGTGTCAGGAATGGACTGGCCAGCAATAGTGGGATTCACCTGCCTTATGAGCTGCAGTACCAGAGCTGGCCAGCGGGTGCTCCCAGCAATCAGAGACTCAACCTTGCAGCCAGTCAAACACCTGAAATAATTATACTGGTGTATTTAAGGGACATTCAGACCTGCAGACTCTGCCTTGGTGTTGTGTTTTTCCTGGGCCCTGCATCCTGCATCCTGCTCTCTGTCTCTGTCTTGTTGCTGACCCGGCTTGATTCTGATCTCTGCCTGACCCCCTGTACCTACCTGCCCGTTTGATATTGACCCGGCCTGCCTGACGACGCTTGCACTGTATGTACTGTTATCTGTGGGTGGTTTGGTTTGGTTTGTTTGCACTGTATTATGTTTTAGTATTGCACTGCGTTTATGTTTGTATTGTTAGTGTTAATAAATTGTTTATAACTTATCTGAAGTCTGCGTTTCCCTGCGTCAGTCACACACCTCTGGTCATACCCGGGAGCCCTGACATTACACCAAGGCCAATCCTGACCAGAAGTGGCTGCACAGAGAAGCCATCTTGGTTTGTTGATGGGAAGGATGGATCTGGATGAGGTTGTGTATTTATATCTGCTAGTGTTTGATGACAGAGAGTATGCTTATCAAACTCTGAAGGAGTATCCCCGGGATCAACTGCTAGAATGTATACGGATCGCTCATGTTCTAGTAGATCAGGGCACAGAATTCTCTGAGGTGCAGCCATTGATTCAGATTTGTGCGGAGTTGGTTTCATCTGGTACCCCCGAATGCAGGGATGAATTTTTGCCGCCATTTAGTGCAGACCAGGTAGAGTCCCTGGTGTGGTTATTAGAGGATGATGTGGGTTACTTTCTGGAGCGTTATTCCACATGTTCACTACAGACACTAAGAGATTGTATAAACGCAGTGCAGTCTTTGGTCAGACAGGCTTTGTGTAAGCTCAGCTTTGTTCAACCCATACTGCAGACATGGACAGATTTGTTGCACCCAGCCTCAGTCAGCTTACAAAAACCCAGTCCTGCTTCTAATCTAGTTCCTCAAAACTCTATTCCTGCATTCCCAACAGCTCCTCCTGCCCTGCTATCTACCGCATGTCAGTACCCTGTTCCCACTCGCTGCACCTATCCTGCCTTTAACCCTGTAAACAAGCCCTCTGTAGCAACTGCTCCCTCTCCTGTTCCATCCTCCAGTTCTTCTCTGTCTCCAGCTGCTCCATTCGTTTGCAGACCTGCGTTTACTTGCAGTGCTCCAGTAGTTAAAACCAGAAAAAAGCGAAAATTCTTTCCAACCAATACCATCCTGCCAGTATCCAAACAGGTGAGCCTGCCGTCTGAGAACCTGCCTTCCGTGGTTCAGCCTGAATCCTCTACTCAGCCTGATGCCTGTACGCAGCCTGATGCCTCTCTTCAGCCTGATGCCTCTCTTCAGCCTGATGCCTCTCTTCAGCCTGATGCCTCTACTCAGCCTGATGCCTCTACTCAGCCTGAAGCCTCTTCAGCCTGATGCCTCTCTTCAGCCTGATGCCGGATGCCTGCACTGCCTCAGCCTGATACTCAGCCGCCTCTACTCAGCCTGATGATGAAGCTGATCCAGCCTGACGATGATGAACTGATTAGCCTGACGAGTATTAGGCCAGTTGACTCGATGCCCGCTGTTGATCCAGATGATCCGGTACCTGATCCGGTGCCCGCTGTCGTGCCAATTGACTCAGAGCCCGCTGTCGTACCTGGTGACTCGGTGCCCACTGCCTTGCCAGATGACGCGGTACCCGCTGGCGAGCCAAATGACCTGATGCCTGGTGACCCAGTGCCCGCTGTCATACCTGGTGACCCGATGCCCGCTGTCGAGCCAGACAATCCGGTACCTGATGACCCGGTGCCCGCTGTCATGCCAGTTGACTCAGAGCCCGCTGCCTTGCCAGACGACTCGGTGCCCGCAGTCTTGCCAGACGACTCGGTGCCCGCAGTCTTGCCAGACGACTCGGTGCCCGCAGTCTTGCCAGACGACTCGGTGCCCGCAGTCTTGCCAGACGACTCGGTGCCCGCAGTCTTGCCAGTTGACTCGATGCCCGCAGTCTTGCCAGACTCGGTGCCCGCAGTCTTGCCAGACGACTCGGTGCCCGCAGTCTTGCCAGACGACTCGGTGCCCGCAGTCTTGCCAGACGACTCGGTGCCCGCTGTTCCGCCAGACTCGATGCCCGCAGTTCCGCCAGACGACTCGGTGCCCGCAGTCTTGCCAGACAACTCGGTGCCCGCAGTCTTGCCAGACGACTCGGTGCCCGCTGTTCCGCCAGTTGACTCGGTGCCCGCAGTCTTGCCAGACAACTCGGTGCCCGCAGTTTGCCAGTTGACTCGGTGCCCGCAGTCTTGCCAGACGACTCGGTGCCCGCAGTCTTGCCAGACGACTCGGTGCCCGCAGTCCGCCTTGCCAGACCCGATGCCCGTCGCCCCTCCTGGCCCGATGCCTGTCGCCCTTCCTGGGGGACCCAGTGCCCGCCGCTCCGCCTGGGGGCCCGATGCCCGTGTCGCCCCGCCGGGGGGCCCGATGCCCGTCGCCCCGCCGGGGGGCCCGATGCCTGTCGCCCCGCCGGGGGGCCCGGCGCCCGCCGCTCTGCTTGGGGGCCCGATGCCTGTCGCCCCGCCTGGGGGCCCGATGCCTGTCGCCCCCGCCTGGGTCCGGCCCGATGTGCCTCTGATGCTTCATGTGCCTCTGCCCGTAAGTCCGGCCCGATGTGCCTCTGCCCGGAGTCCGGCCCGATGTGCCTCTGCCCGGAGTCCGGCCCGATGTGCCTCTGCCCGGAGTCCGCCCGATGTGCCTCTGCCCGGAGTCCGGCCCAGCCATGTGCCTCTGCCAGGAGTCCAGCCCGATGTGCCTCTGCCCGATGTGCCTCTGCCCGGTGTGCCCCTGCCCGGTGTGCCGCTGCCCGGAGTCCTGCCCGGTGTGCCAGTCTTTGATATCCCGCCAGTTACCAGACCCGGGCGGCGTGGAACTTTTTGCCCAGCTAGGACTGTTTGGAGCGTCCTGAGGCCGCTCCTTGAGGGGGGGGTACTGTCAGGAATGGACTGGCCAGCAATAGTGGGATTCACCTGCCTTATGAGCTGCAGTACCAGGGCTGGCCAGCGGGTGCTCCCAGCAATCAGAGACTCAACCTTGCAGCCAGTCAAACACCTGGAACTAATTATACTGGTGTATTTAAGGGACATTCAGACCTGCAGACTCTGCCTTGGTGTTGTGTTTTTTTTTCCTGGGCCCTGTATCTTGTTCCTGCATCCTGCATCCTGCATCCTGCTCCTCCTGCTTCCTGTTCCTGTTCCTGTCCCTGTCTTGTTGCTGACCCGGCTTGATTCTGATCTCTGCCTGACCCCCTGTACCTACCTGCCTGTTAGTTGCTGTACCCTGCTCGTGACCTGACTATTCTCCGCTTGCTTCCCTGCATCCTGTGAACCTGTGAACCTGTACCTTGTAAGTTGTGACCCGGATTGTACCTGACCTTGCTGTTTTCTCCTATCCTGACCCTTGCTTTGCCTGACCTCTCTCTTGAATGCCCCTGATTGGATTTGACCTGCTGTTGCTGACCTGGCGTGTGACCCGACCATTCTATGCCCGCTGCCTTGTACCTTGCCGTCCTCTCTGTTACCGACCCGGCCCGTCTGACCTTGCTCATCCATCCATCCATCCCTTGCAGTGGGGTCTTCTGACCTCCTCACATCAGACTCTTCCCCGCGGGAGCCCTTGGCGCATACCACTACCACTGCCGGACGCACCCAGTAGCCACGACCTGGTCTCGGGGGGCTCCAAGTCCATCCCCACCATCAGGGGCCCTGGTGAACAAGCACCCTGGGACTTAGATTCCATGCGCTGGGGACGCCTATTCAGTGGAGTGCTAGTGGTACCGCCAGGCGGTCCCTTACAATTGGCTTCTCAGCGGTTCCATGGCCAGGTGTGTGTTATTCCCTCATTATCCTAATTACAATGAGCAGATAAAAGGTTCAGAGTTCATTTCAAGTGTGCTATTTGCATTTGGAATCTGTTGCTGTCAACTCTCAAGATGAGATCCAAAGAGCTGTCACTATCAGTGAAGCAAGCCATCATTAGGCTGAAAAAACAAAACAAACCCATCAGAGAGATAGCAAAAACATTAGGCGTGGCCAAAACAACTGTTTGGAACATTCTTAAAAAGAAGGAACGCACCGGTGAGCTCAGCAACACCAAAAGACACGGAAAACAACTGTGGTGGATGACCGAAGAATTCTTTCCCTGGTGAAGAAAACACCCTTCACAACAGTTGGCCAGATCAAGAACACTCTCCAGGAGGTAGGTGTATGTGTGTCAAAGTCAACAATCAAGAGAAGACTTCACCAGAGTAAATACAGAGGGTTCACCACAAGATGTAAACCATTGGTGAGCCTCAAAAACAGGAAGGCCAGATTAGAGTTTGCCAAACGACATCTAAAAAAGCCTTCACAGTTCTGGAACAACATCCTATGGACAGATGAGACCAAGATCAACTTGTACCAGAGTGATGGGAAGAGAAGAGTATGGAGAAGGAAAGGAACTGCTCATGATCCTAAGCATACCACCTCATCAGTGAAGCATGGTGGTGGTAGTGTCATGGCGTAGGCATGTATGGCTGCCAATGGAACTGGTTCTCTTGTATTTATTGATGATGTGACTGCTGACAAAAGCAGCAGGATGAATTCTGAAGTGTTTCGGGCAATATTATCTGCTCATATTCAGCCAAATGCTTCACAACTCATTGGACGCTTCACAGTGCAGATGGACAATGACCCAAAGCATACTGCAAAAGCAACCAAAGAGTTTTTTAAGGGAAAGAAGTGGAATGTTGTGCAATGGCCAAGTCAATCACCTGACCTGAATCCGATTGAGCATGCATTTCACTTGCTGAAGACAAAACTGAAGGGAAAATGTCCCAAGAACAAGCAGGAACTGAAGACAGTTGCAGTAGAGGCCTGGCAGAGCATCAACAGGGATGAAACCCGCGTCTGGTGATGTCTATGCGTTCCAGACTTCAGGCTGTAATTGACTGCAAAGGATTTGCAACCAAGTATTTAAAAGTGAAAGTTTGATTTATGATTATTATTCTGTCCCATTACTTTTGGTCCCTTAACAAGTGGGAGGCACATATGCAAACTGTTGTAATTCCTACACCGTTCACCTGATTTGGATGTAAATACCCTCAAATTAAAGCTGACAGTCTGCAGTTAAAGCACATCTTGTGTGTTTCATTGCAAATCCATTGTGGTGGTGTATAGAGCCAAAAATGTTAGAATTGTGTTGATGTCCCAATATTTATGGACCTGACTGTATATATATATATATATATATATATATATATATATATGTGTGTTTTATCTTTACATGATCATAAACATAATGTATCCCTTTGCTGGCTCTTTATATGTAATCGATACAAGTGTTTTACAGCCGCCCTGGACGATGACAAGATCGTTGGAGGATACACCTGCTCAGCCAACTCTGTGCCCTACCAGGTATCTCTGAACTCCGGATATCACTTCTTGCGGTGGATCCGTCCTCAGCTCCCTGTGGGTGATCTCTGCTGCTCACTGTTACAAGGCGTAAGTGTGCGTTTTATGATAGCACTCTTTATTGGAGTATTTACGAGTCATTGCAAAAAGTAGTATCTATTATCTGGAGCTTTTACCAGCAGTTTGACCGGTGAAGTAGCATATTGATCAAATGGATGGTTAATTGGTCAGTTGGCAGGAGATCCCTTGGGTATGGTAATGCTTGTATTAGTGAAGGTTTTTTGTAAAGTGCAGTCAAATTAAACACAAATTATTTGGTGTTCACAATCCCTCGCTAACATGTAGCTTCTGCGTAATATCCAAATGAGATATACATAGATACCATTATTGCAAAAAACATGGTGCTCCTAACAATAATTAAGCTAGACCAAAGAAATTATATAAAAATGACTATTCCAAAGTTTCAGCTTTCATGGTTACTTTATTTGTGCAACCATTTCTCTGGGTATTTTTAAATATTTTATTATTAGTTGAAGATCCTACCAAGTGTTATTTATTCCTGTGACTCCTTTGGAGTTTCTTCCCTCACTTTTTGTCCATGTGAAATGGGGTACAGTGGCACAAAGACACATACAGCAATGAAAATAATGCCAGAACCCTTCCTCACTCTGCTAGTGTCCATCAGAGGCAAAAATTCTACCACTTCCTGTCTTGACAGGAAGTGAAGAGAAATCTCCCCAATAGAAAGACAGGCTGCAATATAAATCTGGCAGAGGCTCTATCCCCTGCTCTACACAAAAAATTAAACCTTTTGGCTGCATCTGAGCTTTATCATTGGATGGAGGGAAAGAATTGAGTGGTAGTGAGAGGTCATAGATGGAGGGCATAGATGTTCGCTTTATACTTCAAATTTGTTTTCAGTACTTAAAATGACTGTACGCAACTCCTGGAACTGAAGGTGAGTGTACATTTTTTGTTTATTTAAAATCTTGCAAACATACAGCATATTTACCTATATGCAAAACATAAAAATAAAAACTGAATTTATATCTATAGAAATAAACTAAACCAAACAAGCTTACATCAGCAAATAACAAAAAAGAAAACGTCTTTTTTCTGAAAATAACATAAATAGAACTAAATACAAAGAAACAGAATTTTATTATCCAAAAACTTACTAAATTATGCAAAACTCAACCCTACCTCCACCAAAACACACCCTCAGGCTAAGAAATGAGTAAACATTTATCCCATGCTTGCAGTCTTTTTTCAGAAATCTGATCTTACAAAAATCTAAGGGACGTGAAAGGACAGAAAGATAAGCCATGCCCCCAGAGACTGACAAAGAACAGCCACGGGGACCTGACACTCCTACATGCCTTTGTCCAGGCTCCCGGCCGCCACCTGTCCTTCTCAAGACCCCGAATCT